GGTGGATGGAGGGCACTGGGGGAAAGGGTCTAATCTAGTGACAACACCAGCTGACAATATTCTTGAACACTAAATGTGTGTGAGTTCAAGCATTTTGCATGAGTTAATTCACTTTAATCTCTCAACAACCTAGAAGAAAGTCACTCAGAATAACACATCTCCTTTCCTGCCTGATCTAACCACTGGACTTCTGCTTCCCAGGCAAGCAGGAACAGAGGCATTGCAGGACTGGCCCTTTGCCTGTGACCAGCTCTGCCACTTGTCTCCTAACTCTAATGTGGCCACTCACAGGGGCTCACTTCCAGGTAGGACAGAGGACTGGGGAACAGAAGGTGTATATACCAGAACAGGAAGCAACTTAGGGGAAGGCCACAGGCTGTCTGGGTTGGGATTGGTGGTCTGCTGGCAAGGCCACAGCAAAAAACCAACCCCCGAGCACCAGTGGCTCACATCTAAAATCCTAGTTATTCAGGAGGCTGGAGATCTGAAGATTCTGGTTTGAAGCCAGCCCAGGCAGAAAAACCTATGAAACTCTAATCTGCAATTAACTACCAAAAAGCCAAACGTGAAACTGTGGCTCAAGTGGTAGAGTGCCAGCTTAAGCAAAAAAGCTGAGGGGAAAACACCCAGGCCCTGAGTTCAAGCCCCAGTACTGGTACAAATAACACCCCCCTCCCTGAAAAACATAATCCCATCCGACCCATCAACAAATTCACACAAACATGCGCATGTACACACAGAAGCTGTACCATACAGTACTCAATGATACCATTTTACTTGTCTATTCATAACACTAGTTCTCATTTTCCTCATTAAGAGTGGTATTTATGCCAAGCACAGAGAAGCAAGTGATGGAAGGCCAGGCTCTTCCGGGACTAGGTGTCTGGCCACTGCTGGCCAAGACTGCCTGCTTCCAAGTATCTTCCACTGCTACTACCTCCTTGGAGCCTCCTGGGATGGGATGGCTGCAGGAAGGTTTCTTTTTTCTCTGTGCGTCTCCAGGGCCTGTGTTTTTGGCATAGCCCCAGCCGTGTGTGTGTGTGTGTGTGTGTGTGTGTGTGTGTGTGTGTGTGTGCGCGCGCGCGCGCGCGTGCGTGTGTGCATGTGTGTGGCTTGAATTCAGCTTAGGCGCTGACATTTAGCTTTTTAGCTCAAGGCTGGAACTACTTAAACTCCTCCTCCATTTCTAGCCTTTTTTTGGTGGTTAAGAGCCTCACGGACTTTCTTGCCCAGGCTGGCTTTGAACTGTGGTCCTCAGATCTCAACCTCCTGAGTAGCTAGGATTACAGGCGTGAACCACAGGCACCTGGCTAGCCCCAGCCTTTATTACCACCATTGTCTGGTTCATTGGGGATTCAGCTCATGCTCTGTCTCTCAGTTCAGGGTGTTCAGGGCAAACAAAATAGAGGTGACCTTTCTCTCCAGGGACCTTCTGGAGATTAACAAGTAAATAAATACATGCATGGATTCAAATTAGGATACCATATAAGCCAGGAAGAAAAAGTACTGCAGTTAGTATTGTTGACCTCCTCACTCTTGCACCAGGCTGTGTTCCCTCCAGGGCCAAGTGGTGGAGACCCAGTGGACCTTACAGAAATAAATGCACACACAGACAGGCATTCCTCGGAGGGCACTGACAGAAACATTCTGAAGGATGTAGCAGTATTCCCATGTGGAGAACAAAACATTTTCCCATTGATGAAGATTGTGCTGGGTTTTTTTATTTTTTTTTTTTGCTCTGGAGAAAGAATTTATTTATTCAAGCCCCAATAATGAAGCTTGGATTCAGGATCTGAGTACTGCTCTTTGGCTTTTATGCTCAAGGCTGGTATTCTACCACTGGAGCCACGGCTCCAGTTTTAGTTTTTGGTGGTTCATTGTGGAGATAAGAGTCTCACAGACTTCGTTGCCCCAGACTGGCTTCAAACCTCAATTCTCAGATCTCGGCCCTGGGGAATCACAGTGAAGGAGGAAAGACCCCCCTTTAGCCATCTCAGGAGGCTCAAAGGAGGAGGTGGCAGTGGAAAATACATGGAAGCAGTCAGGCCTGGCAGGAAGTGGCCAGACACCCAGTCCAGGAAGTGGCCTGGCCTCCCAGTACTTGCTTCTCCAAGCTGGAAACAAACTCAGAGAACTTAGGTAGATTAGTGATTGTCCAGAGGTCCCAGCTCCTGGCACTGTTTGGGGCAGTGCTGGGGTCATCCCCTGGGGAGCTGTGAAATGTCAAAGACCACCTTGAATCCCATGCTTTCCCTGAAGTAAGAAGGCTGATAGGAGAGAGAGCCCAGTCACAAAAAGTCCCCCACAAAACATCCCTCAGGACGGACACACACACACACACACACGGACACACACACACACACACACGGACACACACACACGGACACTGTCCCCTGGCTGTTAACTATTTTAAAATTGTAACAATGCTTCTTCCTGACTCTAAGTGGTAACTTCCAGAAACATCTTCTAGAAAAACAGATCCTCAGGATTTTTCAGCTGGCATTTCTGTCATGCCTTATCCACAGCATGGCTCAATCACACTACAGCACTGTTGGGATACCTTCAGCACCTGTTCTTGGCTGATGTGCCTAGCACACTGCCAAGGTGCCTTGCACACACAGAAGAATGTGACA